CAATAACATATGGAAGATCACATGCATGGGATGCTTTGCCAAGTTGTGATACATTTAGGTGGGTCTCTTCCAGCTTCCAATTTGTATTTCAGAACTGTTCTTCAAAATCTACTGTCTGATAATAATAGTGGGGAGGAAATGTGCCAGTGTATGTGTGTTTGGATGGGATACAGCTCTGTCGGATAACATTAAAACATATACTTAACAATACAAAGCATGCTGGCCATGTGACACAGCCATATACTTCTTTGTATCAAGATCTAATGCTTTTCCATCAGTGTAAATCTTGAGGCGTAATCTGGCCTTCTTTATGAAATACTGTTCACATGTGGGTAAAATAAGATTGCTGTGTTTATCTAAAGCATATTAATCTGTTTTGTTTTTTTTTTTCTATATAGAAGTGTGTTTGAATGATTTTATAGCAGAATCTTATTGTTTCTCTGCAGCTCGAGAACTGATTAGACATCCAACCATAATCCATCATACTCCCAGATCCTTATGGTGCTACTTCTGCCACGTCTGCTGATTCAGTATTATACTCCTGTTCACCTTTAAGTGGAATTAAAATTATTTTTTTTTTTTAAAAAGCTACTGTATTGTCAGCTAGCAGCCCCTTTAAGCCACTCAGAAGATCATTCTCATGTGCCACAGCTGATTGCTCTGTCCCTGCTGGAGAGGAGAAAGTGATCGCAGCATAAGAGGACCGGTGGCTATTTTGGTGGAGACTGAATGCTGACGGAGAACATTCATTGGCTGCTACCACTGTGAAGATGGAGGGTTCTGGAGTGAACTGTGAGTTGTGCTGTGTGATGTCTAGAGACTGGCTGCAGATATCTACAGTGGCAGAGCAATATAGTACAGATTCATGAGAAGAGCATCTCCAAGGAGGTGAAGGCCAAAGAGGAAAGCCCCAAATCCTGATGGGCTGAGTTTGGCCTGTCCTCAATCCACCACCATCTGGAACATAAGGAATACTATCCAGAACTGCATCGGGGAGGCAGTATTGAAAAACTGGAGGTGTGAGGGGACTAAGGACCATATCTGTGTGCTGTGGGATGGTCTTTCCTAACTTTTTATGGTAGAGCTTTGCAAAAAAGGGGACTGGATCACTTGTTTTTTTTTTTTGGATTACAAATTTCTCAAGCTTGAGAATGAGCTGACCTAAAGATAAAAAGTCCCCAAGCTGGGTATGGAGATGGGGTTAATCAATAGGAGATGCAGGCAGAAAGACCCGTCTAAAAAGTGTCTCCTTCTGACGTAAGGGCAGGATAACCAGTGTACCTGAGAATTGGGAGGACATATGGATACCTAAATGTTGTTTAAATTGTAGAAATTGAATGATCACAGAAATATGTTGCAGGTCAGACAATTCTTCTGGCAGAAAAGGTACTGTTTATCAACAAGGCACTTTTTTCAATAGTGATAGAATTTACAGACCCCAAAATGCCTAAGGAGTCACCCTTGAGTAACCCTGCTTTCCTTAAAGTACTTGCAGTTATCCAGCTGCCAGTAGCAGACAGTTTCAGGAAGCTAGCAAAAGAAACACCAGGTAAGAGGAAACTGCTGTTTGGTACCGCTCCCTATCACTACTCTATCCCTAATCAACGAAACTCTGAACGACTCCTACACTGCGGTCCTTCAAATGATGCAGAATCTGCTTTTTAATCACTTCCATGTCAAGATGATCACCTAGAGCTTATAATAGGGGACAAATTAGTCTTCAATGGTCTCCTGCCAGCCTAAAGAAACATTACAATGCCAACCTCAGGTTGGCCCGAATACTGCAGCCCAACACTTTCCTACATAGGGGTATCGCTATACCAGAAAGCCAACACTTAAGCCTCCTTACTTCATAGGTAATAATAAGTACAGACCTCAAATCAGCCAGATGATCAGTTAGACCTGGACACTGCTCACCTCTAGGGAAAAAGAGAAGCAGGGCATGCTTTATTATGCCCTAATTAATCTCTTATTTGTAATATCCAAGTGGTATCCTGGAACATGCACCTCCTTCATTCCATATCTGACCAGCACGGAAACTTGCAGAATGCTTTTTTTCATTTCCTCTTTGGACTGGAATTATAGGGGATGCTTACTGTTGGACTCCCAGTAAGTTATGCACCATGAGAGAGCTCAGAGTTATGCAAAGGCTGCTCTTCATTTGCATCCAGGGTCACCACTTGTTTGGTGGGATTTCTGCCAAATGCAATTAGTAGGAAAAAGATCAAAGCTCTCTCAGCAGCTCAGCTCATCCTGCTTCCCCTTCCCAGAGTTACTACTCTGTGCTAAAATTAGAAATTGGAAAGTGTTTGAGTTTCTGCTGAGATAGGGATTGCTGAGCTGTTGATTCACTGCTGGAAGGGGGGAGTAAGGAAAACTGAGCTGATGTGTCACTGTTGGTAGAAGGGAGCAAAGCTTCAGCATCACTGGTGGAAGAGAGGAGTGGGAGGCTGAGCTGGAGAGTCACTCTAAATTTCCAGGGTACCCAATAACATTTTGTATGGCAGGAATAAGATCATTTGCAGTTATTGTTTTGCCCAGCTTATTAGAATTGATTTTTTCTTTTTGATGAATTTCATTTCTCTTGGGTTATCGGCCACCCATACTTTGAAATGACAAGTCAGAATAGACAACAGTGCATAAGTGAACATTGACTTTAAAGCTGTATGCTAGTATTGCTGAATAGGGAATGGACTCTCTTGAACTTCAACAGTCTTGTAACCTAAGGCTTAAACTAATTGCAATGCGGTGAGCAGCTGCCAATGAAAATGTTCTTCCCTGTCAGATTATGTACAGGATAATAAAATATAATAATATTCTAGCAGAGATCTGAGACACTTCATTATTGTAATGCAATGGAAATAAACACACGCAGAGGTAGACATTTCGAACAGCTGCTTCTTTGTGTACAGAGAGAATATCTATTACAAGTGTAAAAGTGATGCATTGATTCTACTCATTCATTTTGTTTAATATCTAGAGATGCAATGTGATCTTTATTGGAGGATTCTTTTCTAAATGGTTACAGCAACTGGTGAAAAAGATACTGGTCCAGCTTGTTTCAGCTTTTTGGGTGAATAGCTCAGGGATCAAAAGTCAATGTAGTTAGTTTTAGGAATGTGTCACATATAGGCCTAAAGTCCAGGTCTTCTTCTGAAAAATACTGGTCTTTGGGAGGCAGGGTGGTGATTTCCACTATGATCCAGTAATAAAGAGAAAGTTCCACTGAGCTCCTGCTCCAGGTGCTGTTCCTCCAGGCCACTATGGCAAATATATCCTCTAGCCAGAGCTTCTAAAGTGCTAAAAGATAATGCTCACTGTCCCTGTTCTATTACTGCTTTCACCATGTCTTCTGGACTGGCATCTTATTACTTCAGCATCTTAATTTGGCCATTTCTTAGCCATTAATGATGTAGCTCCTAGAAATTGGAGTGATGGCATCCTGGGAACAAATTTCAGCATCTTACAGATGGTTGGAGTGAACCAAGCATATTCACTGCACTACCAATATGTCGCAGACAGTGTAGGCAAATAAAAAATTGCTAGCAGAAAAGAAGAAAAATGTTTGTGACAGAAGAGGTGTTGCGTGACAAGGAGCACAGCTCCTGTTTAACCCATTATTGTCGGCTCGGCTGATACATGTTGCCCACAGGAGTTCCCCAGCATGGAGCTCCCCAGAGACCCCAATACTTCACTTGCAAAAGTGACACCCTGAGATCAACCCAGTCTGGCCTCACCAGAACCCCAGGGTCCATTTCCAACCCACTTTTGCCACCAGTCGGCAGGGAACAGGGTGATTAATGATGCACCAAGGAGTTTAAATTGTCACTAAACCCAGGACCCTGCATTCACTATATCTGGTCTCCCACTGTACATACAGCATGGAAATGCATTATTTAGTAAATATAAACTGCTAGATACCTTTTCTCAGCAGCAGTATATAGTGTTCTTGTGACTTCTACCAGTGTCCAGCTGAGCACTGGTTAAAGCTTGCAGGAGGAGTATTAATTATTCTCTGACTGTCCTATGAGGCTGCATAACCCCTGACCCTCTGTCTGCACAGAGCTTATTGGCCCTGTGCTGATCACATGCACCATTCTAAAGAAAAAAAAAACTCTCTAGCAATACCCACTAAACTGAGCATGTGCAGAGTGACTCCTAGAGCTCTATACAATCAGCGGATGGATTGAGGACAATAGACAAAGGAAAGGATCAGAGAAGTCAGGATCAAACATGTGGTGAATTACCCCCTTAGGTTCCACAGTGAGTATAACAAGCATGCTTTACTGCATATACAGACTGATTTTACTGTTGTAGGTTTAATAACACTTAAAAAAAGCAGGGTAATATCCAAGAGAAGCTCCCTTCAGGGTTAAAATCAGCAAGTGTTTGCTAAAAAAATTTCAAACATAACAATTTATTCACCAATGGGGTGGCAGTATATGGATTCAACAGTGGCAAATAGTTCACCTAAAGTTTGTAGTAATGTTAAAACAAACAGACCCGTTAGCTTGCAAGAGTGGCCCAAAGTCCCATTATCCCTTCAAGGGGAATTCAAATTGTCCCAGTTGGAAAATAACTCAGGTTTCCTTCCTCAGGACTAGCTAAATAGTTTCCCCCCCTACATGATGCTCCAACTACTTACCTCCTGCCAGAGAATATGTCCCACTCAACAGAAGCTCACATACACAGGGCTTTTTTCAACTGTAATATGGAGTAATGTAGTTCTGGCACTCTAGCACTAAATGTTCGTAATGGCAAAGGGTGCTGGAGGGTCTATTGATTCTGGCTGCTGGGGAGGATCTATTGCCTGGGGAAGGCTATTGTTGCTTGTGAGGGATCTATTACCACTAGGGGTGGGGTCTAATGTTACTGGGGGGGGGGGGTCAATTGTTGCTGGGGGGGATGTACTGTTAAGGGAGGGGTCTATTGATGTGTCGTCAATGAAGGAAGCCTCTCCTAAAGCCCATGCACGAAAAGCTCACCTAGGATTTGCAAGAGCCCATGCTGAAAAAGAAGAAGACTACTGGGAATCTGTACTCTGGAGTGATGAGACCAAGATAAATGTTTTTGGAATTGATGGCTTCAAAACTGTATGTCATCGCAAAGGTGAGGAGTACAAAGAAAAATGCATGGTGTCTACAGTGAAACGTGGTGGTAGTGGTGGTAGTATCCTTCTGTGGGGCTGCATGAGTGCTGCTGGTGTCAGGGAGCTGCATTTCATTGATGGTATCACAAATTCACAGATGTACTGCTCTATATTGAAAGAGAAGATGCTACCATCACTCCGTGCCCTTGGTTGTTGTGCACTTTTCCAACCTGACAAACACACATCTAAGGCCAATGTTGCATTTCTGAAGAAGAATAGGGTGAAAGTGATTCAGTGGCCAAGTATGTCTTCTGATCTGAACCCAATCAAACACCTATGGGGGATTCTGAAGAGACAAGTTGAGCATCACTCTCCATCCAGCATCCAGGATCTAAAAGAGGTCGCTCTTGAAGAATGGAATAAGATAGATGTTGCAATATGTCACCAACTTGTTCACTCCATGCCTAGAAGACTTGGTGCTGTCCTTATAAATCATGGAGGTCATACAAAATACTAGATGTAGTAGATTTTGTTGTGGGGTGTATTCATTTTTGCATCAACTAATCTGAGTAAATCTGAAGATTTTGTGATCTAAGATATATTATTAACCTTACTTTCATGTAATGAGCTAAACAAATGTTCTATAAACCTTACGTTTCAAAAAAGATGTATACATTTATGCTAAGCACTGTATATATATGTATATATATATATATATATACACAGTTGTGTTCAAAATAATAGCAGTCAGACTTCACTAACCTGATCAATCACTGTTTTTGGTAGAAATGATTTTTCTACATGGCAAATAATTTACTAGCAGGTGTAGTAGAATAATAGAAATCCAACAGACCCAACAGTCATGACATGCATGCTGCTGATTCTGTGTAATTGAATCATTAACTGAAAGGGGCATGTTCAAAATAATAAGTGGAGTTCTATTAGTGAGGTCATTCATTCTTTGAAAAACAGGTGGCAATTATTGCCCTTATTTAAGGAATGAAGGCAGCAAATGTTGTACATGCTGGTTACAATGCATTTCTCTCTGAAATTCTGAGGAATATTCCAGATATTTTTCAGAAGAACAGCGTACCTTGATTAAAAAGTTGATTGGAGAGGGGAAAACATATAAAGAAGTGCAGAAAATGATAGGCTGCTCAGCTAAAATGATCGCAAATGCTTTAAAATGGCAACCAAAACCTGAAAGACGTGGAAGAAAGCGAAAAACTACCATTCAAATAGATAGAAGAATAGCCAAAATGGCAAGGACTCAGCCAACAACCAGCTCCAGGAAGATCAAAGAAGGTCTAAAGTTACCTGTGAGTACTGTTACAATTAGAAGACGCCTATGTGAAGCCAAGCGATCTGCAAGAAGCCCCCGCAAAGTCCCACTGTTGAAAAAAAAGACATGTGCTGAAGAGGTTACAATTTGCCAAAGAGCACATTGACTGGTCTAAAGAGAAATGGCGCAACATTTTGTGGACTGATGAAAGTAAGATTGTTCTTTTTGGGTCTAGTGGCTGGAGACAGTTTGTCAGACGACCCCCAAACACTGAATTCAAGCCACAGTACACTGTGAAGACAGTGAAGCATGGTTGTGCAAGCATCATGATATGGGGATTTTTCTCATACTACGGTGTTGGGCCTATTTATCGCATACCAGGGATCATGGATCAGTTTGAATACATCAGAATACTTGAAGAGGTCATGCTGCCTTATGCTGAAGAGGAAATGCCCTTGAAATGGGTGTTCCAACAAGACAACGACCCCAAACACACCAGTAAACGTGCAACATCTTGGTTCCAGACCAACAAGATTGAGGTTATGGAGTGGCCAGCCCAATCCCCGGGTCTTAATCCAATAGAAAACTTGTGGGGTGACATCAAAAATGCAGTTTCTGAGGTAAAAGCAAGAAATAGAGAAGAACTGTGGAATGTAGTCCAATCATCCTGGGCTGGAATACCTGTTCACAGGTGCCAGAAGTTGGTTGACTCCATACAACACAGATGTACAGCAGTTCTCAGAAACAGTGCTTATACAACTAAATATTCATTAAGTGATTCAAAGGAAAGCAAAATCTTCAAACATTTTTCAGTTTATATAGTGAATGTTTGAGTTTGTAAAGAAGAATACAAACGCTGCTATTTTTTTGAACAGTCTAATATTCACTTTTCTTCATTTTTTTTTAGAGGAACAACACAAATTTGATATATTTTTCTTCATGTTTTGATTTGGAATAGAATGTGTCGTGTTCCCAATGCATTTGTGTGTATGGAAATAAAAGCTATTAGAAGGATTTTGAGCTTTATTCACTTTTTTTCAACACACTGCTATTATTCTGAACACAACTGTATATATATATATATATACACACACACACAAATATACAGTATTTAGTCCCACTTTAGTGCTTCAGTTTTGTCACATGGAGGTGGTTATTCTGATGCACATTGCACAGGAATGGTCCACCTTTGCCACTCATCAAGCCAGTCCAGAGAAATCACGTGCAGCCAACAAGGAAGTTGCTGAAAGAGGCACTGAGATATAAATAAAGATTAAATAAAGTGAAAACAGTATTTGATGGGGAAAAAGGCACGCAGTTGTTTATTATACACTGTGATTTAAAAAGCTAAATGTCAGTCAATCAGCTTTTACATCTACTGTAATGTGCAATCTAAATGCAAAATGCCACAGATATACAGTAAATGACTAATCAGAAAATATAAGTTAGTGAGCGCAATCCAACAAGCGACCAATGCACTAAAAGGAACCACAAAACCTTTCTGATAAACTCAAAAATACAAGGAGTGCAGCGCTACATAAAATTAAATGGCAAAGAAAAAATAAATAAAATACAGTAAAATAATATTAAAATAAGTCCACTGTAATATCAATATATGGATTCCTCAGTCCACAGTGAAATATCAGACGTTGTAGGTGCAATCCGGTCTCCCGTTGTGATAATATGAATAGATTGCCTACTCACCAGAAACCCAGTAATAAACGCATATCTGTATCACATGCATCCTAGGATCTTGAATAAAGACAGCCCGGAAATGGAACCCTCTGATGGTCCCTCAGTGGTGTAAGAAAAGGATACCGATCTGGTCTCCAAGTTTTTACTTCATCAAGTCTGCAGCAATACCTAAATCACTGGGGCAGAAACCCAGTAATAAACGCATACTGTATCTGTATCACATGCATCCTAGGATCTTGAATAAAGACAGCCCGGAAATGGAATCCTCTGATGGTCCCTCAGTGGTGTAAGAAAAGGATACCGATCTGGTCTCCAAGTTTTTACTTCATCAAGTCTCCTCTGCTTCAAGCAGAGAGGAGACATTGTTGGAAGTGGCAGCAGAGGAGACTTGATGAAGTAAATACTTGGAGACCAGATCGGTATCCTTTTCTTACACCACTGAGGGACCATCAGAGGATTCCATTTCCGGGCTGTCTTTATTCAAGATCCTAGGATGCATGTGATACAGATATGCGTTTATTACTGGGTTTCTGGTGAGTAGGCAATCTATTCATATTATCACAACGGGAGACCGGATTGCACCTACAACGTCTGATATTTCACTGTGGACTGAGGAATCCATATATTGATATTACAGTGGACTTATTTTAATATTATTTTACTGTATTTTATTTATTTTTTCTTTGCCATTTAATTTTATGTAGCACTGCACTCCTTGTATTGTTGAGTAAATGACTAATGCACATGTAACATAAAGTATATCCAAACCCAAAACAGTTTTTGCTAGAGTTGGAAATGTAAGCTTCTCACAATGAGCAATAGAAGCTGAAACAATATAAATCAGATAGAGCCCACCCCATTTCCTAGCTTGAGATTATCTGGCATCATCTAGCTCTTTCCTCCTCAGCCTTACTGTCCCTAGCCCAACCCTTTTATTCATTGGACTTCATTGAGGAATCATGGAGGTTCAGCATCACATATGGGCATTACCTTGCGGAGTGTACATGCAAATGCAGTCTACCTAGAACACCTACATCCACCAATTTGATTTTTTATATTTCCAAGAGGCAGCCCACTGCTTGCATCAGGGCTTTTGAAAATAGTTCTAAGGCAGGGAGCTGTGATGTTTGCACAGAACCTTGTACAGAACCTTTCTGGCTCCTGGTAATGCTACTGGCATTGCATAGAGAAGCACAGAGACCCAATGATGACATCACTGGGTCTAAAATAAGGTATGTCATGAAAACAAAGTGGTTTTATTTAAAAATGCCATAAGCATGTTGGTGAAGGGGGTCGGGGGGATCAAGAGAAGGCTAAATTCAGATTCAATTTCAGTTTTAATCAAGTTATGATTAAAGCAGAACTTTAGTCAGAAAATTAAGTCCTGATAGATGACTTCAGGCTGATCCCATTTGCAGGTATAGATATGTGAAACATTAAACATAGATGCCTATAATGTTTAAAATCCAGTAATACACTGTGTCACCCTGCTCTGCACATGCTCAGATGCTCTATATTTTTAGGCACTGTGCCAACAATATAGAGGCCAATTTGCTGGCAGCCTACACATTTTCTGACGTTTAGATGTTCTGGGCTTCATCACAATGGCAGACTGCGGCAAGAAGAGACAGGAACAATGCTGGAGGCAATTTACAGCACGCACTTATTTTGGTAGCATAATTATTAATGTGGAATGTTCCTTGCTAAAGAACGTTATTATATATCAAGTTGGTATAGGCATAGTTCCGCTTTAACCTGTAATAAGGAGATAGAACACATCATGATCCATTTTAAACTAAGCTGTTTCATTTTTGTTTTTACAGTTTTTACTACAGAGGGAAAGACTGACAGGTTTATTGCTGTCTGTATCCCCATTTGAAAATTGTAACCTTACCTTCTATTCCAGTGGCAAGGTGTCACGAGTACAAGAAGTGATGGGATATCTCTGATGGGTATAGAGACAACAAAAGCACACTTTTTAGGAGGAATAAAGAGGCGGTAGAAAATCGGTTAGGTGTTTAATGCTCTCTTAATCATCCTGTCATGGTGACACCAGAATTCTACCATGTCTTGTCCCGGTGTCCTTGAAACAGGAATTGGGAACAAATCTCGCTGAGGACACAGACAGCAATAAAAACTCAACAGAAGTTCTGGCTCTTAGCTATTCTATCAAAAACAACAGCTACAAACCCAAGGATTAGACACTGTTCCAAATTGCTCCTTCAAAAGAAACCTAAAAATGAACACAAGAACAGGAATAGAGGGGAAATCTGCCAATGGGGACCATTGTTC